ACTATTATCAGCTGCCGCTCCATATTCATGCAGTTCCGAAGGCCGCCGCTCCGTGTCAGTCAGGCAGGGTGGGACGCGAGCAATGCTGAGTCAAGTTACCGCGATTAAAGACTCTGAGAAAGTTTTATTTTTCTGTACGAGGTTTGTTTTTGTAAGTGCTGATGTTTGTTTATTTGTTGATTGACCCATGTGCTTTCGTATTAACACATCCAGACATATAGATTTTGCATACAAATACACATATACAGAGAGAGAGAGAGAGAGAGAGAGAGAGAGAGAGAGAGAGAGAGAGAGAGAGAGAGAGAGAGAGAGAGAGAGAGAGAGAGAGAGAGAGAGAAAGAGAGAGAGACTCACAAACAAGAAATAATTAAGGATTCCTCATGGGCTGACCTGCCTCCAAGGACAGATCAGCGGGCGTTCGAATTTCCAAAGAGCCCGAAACTAATCGAGGTCCATTATGTAAATACTTAAACAGAAGTTGAAGCCAACTCCACTCTCGACTGCAGCAGGCAATCGGACACGACACGGTTTGGTAACTGGAAGTGGTAACTATAAATGGTAACTATAGTAATTTTCGCGGCAGGAGAACTAGTCAGACAAACTGGGTCGTTTAACATTGACTAATATAGACTTTTCGTTTTTTTTCTTCTTTTTTTTGGCTTGTAAGGGAGGTGATTCAGACTGAAGAATATGTTCCATTTTGCATTTGGATAACCGACGACAGGCGAATCATAAATCATTACAAATTGTACACGGTAGCCTTTCAAGGATAGACAGATGCATAGATAGATATATCTATATATGGAATGAGAGTAACACAATAAAAATAGTAATAATAAAGATGATGATGATAATAATAATAAAATAATAATAATAATAATAATAATAATAATGATAATTTTTTTCTGTAGCTTTGTCCCATTCTTGTATAGGGTTTTGCTATGGTCAGGTTCTGGCAGATATTTTTTATGGCCGGATGCCCTTCCTGACGCCAACCCTCTCTATTTTCCCGGGCTTGGAACCGAAACTGACTTGGGCTGGCTTGTCCACCTAGTGGCTTGGTTAATAATAATAATAATAATAATAATAACAATAATAATAAATTCATGATGATATTGACGATAATGATAATGGTGATGATAACAGTAACAACAATGATAACAGAATCATATGTTCCATTACTCGAAGCATATGCTGATAACTTTCCTGCTAAAGTTATCAGCATTAGCATTATCACCATCACAACTACTATTACCATCTCATCAACGGTCTTGTCTTCTTATGTTACTATTTTATCAACTGTGATATATTCTTGTATTACCATTTTATCAACTATGATATATTATTTTATCTATTCTCAGTTTTGGCTTCTGATGGCAGGAGTAGCACCCGTGCCAAAGCCAAAAAAAAAAAAAAAAAAAAAAAAAAAAAAAAACGTTGAGTTTGTGCAGGCAGTTCTACTGATACTGGCAAAATTTAGTACAATGTAGCAGATCAACTCGATAATGCTACATGATGTTATAAAAGATCAAAGTGATTCAGTTTTCAGTCAGATTCTGTTCAGCTTGAATATTGTAACTGGAATTAATATGTTTCGAGTGCTGTTTTGATTATGAATATTATTACTGTCAGTGATATTGTCGTTATTGTTATCAGTAATTATTATCACCATTGTTATTGCTGCTGTCATTGTTATTGTATTACTGTTGTTATTACCATCTGTTTATTCATCTATCAACTTGATAATCTCCCCGATCTGGCCAATTTAAACTTAATACTAATATTTTTTTATATGGTTTTCTGAAAACCTTGCTGCAAAATGACAGTAGATTTTAATTGTAGTTCAAATACACACGTGGCCATAAAGTCAGCTATATAAGGAATGCCATAATGAGACAGATAATATTTATGGTTCTTATTTTTACTTTAATTAATCAATTTGGATCATGATATAGCACGTAGACAGCCCTTGCAATATACCAAAGGGATCGAGGGACTAATAAGAAACGTTCGGGGTTACTGTTTTCTGCAGTCATAAAAACATTGTTATTATCACGTCATATAATCTGCTGTTATCGAGTATTGGTGGTGTTTTTTGTGTGTGATAACCTTATATTGTCTACTAATTACTATATGAAAGAGATAAAGAAATGAAAAAGGGTATAGAAAAAAGTTCAGTTATATGCTACGATAACTGAAAATTATAAAGCGTTTGTTAATTCACGTGTGGTAAATCTATATTGGCAAACTTGTCGTTACTGTTTGCATTCTCTAAGATACAGTTCTAACTAAGCAAACTTGTCTTTAGTTTTTGCGTTAGGTTTTCTGGATCCTAATCCCGTTTTCTGTTGCGCTGTGCTTCCAGGCAGACGAGTTGCGCTGACCGTGACCTTTTCTTGCTGTCTGAAGGAAGAGTCCGGTGCCAAGTGGCTGACCTTTCACGCCGACCTTGCCTTGCCCTTGCGCCCGGGAGCCAAATTACCAGGTTAATCCGGTTCTTTCCTTGTTTGTGTTTTGTGGCAAGCAAATACTTTTCTATTATCCGCGCTGTGTGTGTGTGTGTGTGTGTGTGTGTATGTGCGTACGTGCGTGCGTTTGCGTTTGCGTGTGCGCGTGTGCGTGTGTCTGTAAACACTTAAACATCATAACTGTGATAGTTATCATAGCCATCTTTACAGCTACAGCTATAAACATCGCCGTCCCTATTAGTCGTATCATCACTATTGCTCCATGAACGCGATCAGCTTCTAAATGTCAGAATAGTCAGATCGCCAAACTAGTTTCGTCCAGAACCTCAGGCTTAGCAGCTGTTTCTCTTTATCAGTTATTTCACGTTCAGTTTCATCTTTACAAGCGATCGGTGAGCATAACGGCGAGCACCTGCAGAGTGACGTCATACGCGAGAAATAATGAGAAGACTACTTGTTTGCCAATTAGTTTGCCCGCCAGTGACGTCATGTCTAATCCTGCCTGCTCTTGTGCCCGCCGATCATGCCCCGCTCAGTAGAGTACTTTCTGTTCCAAGCAGTGCAAGTTTTTTTTTTTTTTCTTTTTTTTCGCAGCAGGCCTATTGAGTTCAGCCAATCACTTGCCAGGAGGTCGCTGCAATGTTGTTCCCAGCGCTCATGTGGGTTTCATTTTACGGGGAGTCATCAGTTGTCTGATTTCTCGCACTCGTTCTTCAAACTTGTTTTATTTTTTCTTGTCTAGTCATTATGGACCTTATTATAATTATTGTTACTTTTACTACTACTACTATTGTTACTATTACTATTACTATTATAACCATTACTACTACTACTTACTATCAAGACGATAATGATTATTATTAATGCCACCCTTATTGCTATCAATGTTTTTACTACCGCTAACAAAATCGTAAATATCTGTATTATGATTGTTATCATTGCTTTTGTAGATGTCATTATAACTTTGTTTTATTATCATCATTGTTACTACAGTTATTAGTGTGTGTGTGTGTGTGTGTGTGTACGTGCGTGCGTGTGCGTTTGCGTGCGCGCGTGTGCGTGTCTGTAAACACTTAGACATCATAACTGTGATAGTTTTCATAACCATCTTTACAGCTACAGCTATAAACATCGCCGTCCCTATTAGTCGTATCATCACTATTGCTCCATGAACGCGATCAGCTTCTAAATGTCAGAATAGTCAGATCGCCAAACTAGTTTCGTCCAGAACCTCAGGCTTAGCAGCTGTTTCTCTTTATCAGTTATTTCACGTTCAGTTTCATCTTTACAAGCGATCGGTGAGCATAACGGCGAGCACCTGCAGAGTGACGTCATACGCGAGAAATAATGAGAATACTACTTGTTTGCCAATTAGTTTGCCCGCCAGTGACGTCATTTCTAATCCTGAATGCTCTTGTGCCCGCCGATCATGCCTCGCTCAGTAGAATACTTTCTGTTCCAAGCAGTGCAAGTTTTTTTTTTCTTTTTTTTTCGCAGCAGGCCTATTGAGTTCAGCCAATCACTTGCCAGGAGGTCGCTGCAATGTTGTTCCCAGCGCTCCTGTGGGTTTCATTTCACGCGGAGTCATCAGTTGTCTGATTTCTCGCACTCGTTCTTCAAACTTGTTTTATTTTTTCTTGTCTAGTCATTATGGACCTTATTATAATTATTGTTACTTTTACTACTACTACTATTGTTACTATTTCTATTACTATTATAACCATTACTACTACTACTTACTATCAAGACGATAATGATTATTATTAATGCCACCCTTATTGCTATCAATGTTTTTACTACCGCTAACAAAATCGTAAATATCTGTATTATGATTGTTATCATTGCTTTTATAGATGTCATTATAACTTTTTTTTATTATCATCATTGTTACTACAGTTATTAGTGTTAATATCATTATAATGTTCTCCTTATTATCATTATCATTATTATCATCATTATTATGTGTGTGTGTGTGTGTAGCCATGAGTGTATATATATACATATACATAAACATATACATATACATATACATACATATACACACACACACACATACGTGTGTATGTGTATATACATATACATACACACACATATATATGTATATATATACATATATGCCTATGCATATAGGCCTACATATACATATGTATATAAACATACATACATATATATGTATATATGCATATACACACACATAAATACATACGTTTACATATATATATATATATATATATATATATATATATATATATATATATATATATATATATATATACATACACACATGTGTGTATGTGCGCGCGTGCGCGTAAGCATATGCATAACGCATGCATTATATTTAGCTTTAGATAGCATATAAATATAGAACCAGCTATATTTGGTATCTATTTTATATTCTTATCATGACTTAACTCATATTTTTCTGTCGGTGTATGTTAATTCAATTTCCTTTTCCTCTGCCGGTTACACTTAACCTGGGCACAAACCTTATCAAAATATCAGAAGGCAAGAGAGGCAAATGAATCAAAGGAGTATATTCAACCTGTATTTATTATAATTTCTTGTTTCTGTCAGTCTTAAATATTTCAAAATGTTCCTCGTTCGCGCGCCATTTGTCAGCACCATTTTCCCATTTCTCTTCAAATAATGTCATATTCTATTTCCCTGATTATGTACGTAGCTTTTAAATAAATTGATTCATCCGCACTCATACATAATAAAGAGATTACTCCATTTGAGTGACTTTATCCACAGTATGATTTCCGTCAACTATAGTGCAAAGTTATCTAATTAGTTAAGTCACTCCTTGATTCTTCGCTTGTTAAAAGAGAACGGTCTGAAGAGCCTTGGCTGGAATGGGGAAGTTGAGGTAAATTCCGGATTCGTCTGTGACTGAAAGGTCCTTCGCTTCCTCACCTCTGAAATGGATATAATTAGTGTGTTATTATTTATTCTATGTAATTCATTTTGAGTTTTAGACAGAAGTATTAATTTGGCTGGGAATTGTTATCCATATCTTTGCTTGTTAGATAGTATTGTGGGTTTATGTGTTGTTTTCGATATGATAGTCATTATTTATCGTAGTTTATGTTTGTATATCTAGAATGAACACCTTATTTCTCGCGTATTTGTACAAGTACAAATGGGTTTACATGCAATTGTTTCATGTTGACTTCTGAGTACATATTTTTCCATGAGAGTCAGAATCTTACAGTCGTATTTGTATATATTTATGTCTCCTTTCCCCCCTACCTTCCTCCTTACCTACCTACTCACCTTTCATGAAAAGACTAATCTTTCTCGTCCTTCTTACACTCTTAAGCCATCTCCTCCTTCGATATCCTCCTCAGAGCCCATGGAAGAGGAGATCCATTTTCCCATGCCCTTGCTCCGTTCTTTCTCACACTCTGCTTCTTCTCTCTCTCTCTCTCTCTCTCTCTCTCTCTCTCTCTCTCTCTCTCTCTCTCTCTCTCTCTCTCTCTCTCTCTCTCTCTTCCTCTCTCTCTCTCTCTCTCTCTCTTCCTCTCTCTCTCTCTCTCTCTCTTCCCTCTCTCTCTCTCTCTCTCTCTCTCTTCCTCTCTCTCTCTCTCTCTCTCTCTCTCTCTCTCTCTCTCTCTCTCTCTCTCTCTCTCTCTCTCTCTCTCTCTCTTCCCCCCCCCCTCTCTCTCTCTCCCTCCCTCCTTCCCACTTCCTCCCTCCCCATCCCCACTTCACCTGTTATGCAAGACCAAGACGTTCCTCCCCGATGTTTCGTGGAAGGCCACCACCTCGACGTCCTCCTCAGACACCGTGGTGGAGAACACCCTCTTGGCTCCAGGGAATATGAACTTGCTGAAGTGGCCCATGGCGTAGAAGCTGGGCTGCTTGTAGAACTCGTCCGCGTCCTTTGTTGAACGGGAGAAAGGGAGGGAATAATAGTTTTAATGATAAGAACATATAAGAATAAGAAATGGTAATTATTATGATAAGATCCATTTTACTGGAAATAAGAAGACTGATTTACAGGATGGTAAGTGGTCATTTTGTTAATGGCGGCAATGAGAATGTTTGTGGTTTTAATAATAACAACTTAGTGTGCGAAAGAGATAGTTAAAAATAACTGTGTGTGAAAGAGATAGTAATAATAAGAAATCAGTGCCCTTGATAATAATGAATATCAGTGGGTGATAGTAATGATGATAATAATATAATCACTATACTAATGACAATACTGTTGAATACTATAAAGACAAAAACAATAATAATAACAAAACAAAGCTACAACCACCTCAGTTCACAGCAATAAACCCTTAGTATTTAGAAAAGCTACAACGAACGTACAGGATTGATGATAATCGGGGAATCTACGTAATTATCAGCCCAGTTCGGTCCGCCCGCCATGTCCAGCGCCATGTTCCAGTCAACCCAGCCGGTCGAGAAGTGGTTAATGTTCTGAAAGAGAAATGACATTTGTGAAAGAGGAATGAGAAATGGATGGGTTGGAAAGAAGCTTTGAAATAGAAAAGATGGGGATAAGTGGCTTAGAAAGACGTTTTGGAATTTGAAAGGATGGGGGAACAACGGTTTGGAACAAGGTTTTGAAATTAAGAGAATTGGAAAAGGGAATGGATTTAAAGGGATCAGAAAGGAGGGTTGAAATTGAATTGGAGGAGTTATACCGCTCCCGCTCTCTCGCCCGATTTCTTTGCCTCTGCCTTTTTTTCTATTCCAACCTCTGTTTTCTCTCTCTCTCTCTCTCTCCCCATCACCCTCTCCCTCCCCATCACCCTTTCCCTTCCCCTCTCCCTCCCCATCACCCTTTCCCTTCCCCTCTCCCTTTCCCTTCCTCTCTCCCTCCCCATCACCCTTTCCCTTCCCCTCTCCCTCCCCATCACCCTTTCCCTTCCCCTCTCCCTCCCCATAACCTTTTACCTTCCCTTCTCCCTCCCCATCACCCTCTCCCTCCCCATCACCCTTTCCCTTCCCCTCTCCCTCCCCATCACCCTTTCCCTTACCATCTCCCTCTCCATTACCCTTTACCGTCCCTTCTCCCTCCCCATCACTCTTTACCTTCCCCTCTCCCTCCCCATAACCTTTTACCTTCCCTTCTCCCTCCCCATCACCCTTTCCCTTCCCCTCTCCCTCCCCATAACCTTTTACCTTCCCTTCTCCCTCCCCATCACCCTTTCCCTTCCCCTCTCCCTCCCCATAACCTTTTACCTTCCCTTCTCCCTCCCCATCACCCTCTCCCTCCCCATAACCTTTTACCTTCCCTTCTCCCTCCCCATCACCCTTTCCCTTCCCCTCTCCCTCCCCATAACCTTTTACCTTCCCTTCTCCCTCCCCATCACCCTCTCCCTCCCCATCACCCTTTCCCTTCCCCTCTCCCTCCCCATCACCCTCTCCCTCCCCATAACCTTTTACCTTCCCTTCTCCCTCCCCATCACCCTTTCCCTTCCCCTCTCCCTTTCCCTTCCTCTCTCCCTCCCCATCACCCTTTCCCTTCCCCTCTCCCTCCCCATCACCCTTTCCCTTCCCCTCTCCCTCCCCATAACCTTTTACCTTCCCTTCTCCCTCCCCATCACCCTCTCCCTCCCCATCACCCTTTCCTTTCCCCTCTCCCTTTCCCTTCCTCTCTCCCTCCCCATCACCCTCTCCCTCCCCATAACCTTTTACCTTCCCTTCTCCCTCCCCATCACCCTTTCCCTTCCCCTCTCCCTCCCCATCACCCTCTCCCTCCCCATAACCTTTTACCTTCCCTTCTCCCTCCCCATCACCCTTTCCCTTCCCCTCTCCCTCCCCATCACCCTTTCCCTTCCCCTCTCCCTCCCCATCACCCTTTACCTTCACAAGCCTCGGTGTAGAGCAGGAACTTGTCCGGGAAGAGCATCTGCGTCTCGTCCATGACCGAGGGGCCGACCCACTGATCAGAGTACCAGTGCACGGCCGTTCCGTCGATGTACTGGGCGGAGGCGGGGTCTTCCAGCATCTGCGGGGGTGAGGGAGGACGAAGGGAAGTGGGGGGGGGGGAGAAAATTATGTTTTAGTGTGTTTAGAAGCCACGGAATCAAAATTAAGATTTATATCGGTTTATTCATCTGTATAACTATATTTGTCTATGTATCTGACTGGTTCTCCGTCTATCTATTTGTCTTATCTATCAGTCTATATATCATATAAATATTCAATTCACCAACTTTCTTCTTTATCCAACCTCATAGCTACCTATCGCCCATCACACACACACACACAAACACGCACACACACACACACACACACACACACACACACACACACACACACACACACACACACACACAATCGACCTCCTCCCTTCCTCCCCGCCCCTTCTCTCACCGGCTTGGGGTACCAGGGCAGAGTATCCCTGTTGAAGTCGTCGATCATCAACACCAGACGCCTCATCCCAGCAGCTTCCAGAGTAGGTCCCAGGTTCGCCTTGATCCAGTCGCGCATGTCCTCTGCCGTCCAGCCACAGGTGTTCCAGCCCCAGTTCTGTAGGAGGGGCGGGGAAGGGGGAAAAGGGGGGGAAACGGAGAAAAAAAGAAAGGTTGATAGTATTTATGGTGATGAAGATAAATCCGTTAGCTCAGTTATCGATATATTTTTTTTTTATCATTATGGTATGCATCATCATCGTTATCTGTGATTCTTATTAGTTATTACTATTATTGTAATCCTTAACAATATCATTGCTATTATCACTATTATTAGTATTGCTATTTTATAGTTATCGTCATAATGATAACAATGATGATAATGGTAGTGATTAAAATACAAAGAACGAAAATAAGAGTAATAACAATGATAATCCCAATAACAGCAATAACACCCCTCACGCCCTTACGTCATCGAAGCCACTGAGGGGCTCGTTCTGCGTGGTAAGACCCCACATCGGAATGCCCGCGGCCTCATACGCCTCGACGAACCTGGAGGAAGAGGGCATGCGAGGTCACGGCGCTGGAGGATAAGGGGGGGGGGAAGGGAGGTCAAGGGTTAGGAGGAAAGAGAAAGGAGGAGGAGGGAAACAGAGAGAAGGGGCAAAAGAGTGAAAGAGAAAAGGAGAGGGATTGCTAGGTTCATAAGTAAAAAATAGTATCTATTAATATATAAATGTATGTGTATACAAAACCAACAATAACAACCACAACAACAAACAAAAAAACAAGACCCACAAACAAGAAAAAGAGAGAGCGAGAGAGAGCGAGCGAGAGAGAGAGAGAGAGAGAGAGAGAGAGAGAGAGAGAGGGAGAGAGAGAGAGAGAGAGAGAGAGAGAGAAAGGGAGAGAGAGAGAGCGAGAGAGACAGAGACAGAGAAAGAAAGAGAAAGAGAGAGAGAGAGCGAGAGAGAGAGAGAGAGAGAGAGAGAGAGAGAGAGAGAGAGAGAGAGAGAGAGAGAGAAAGAGGGAGAGAGAGAGAGAGCGAGAGAGACAGAGACAGAGAAAGAAAGAGAAAGAGAGAGAGAGAGAGAGAAAAGTATATATATAGAGAGAAAGAAAGAGAAAGAGAGAGAGAAAAAAAAAAACAACAGCCAC